TTCAATACTGCATATTTCAAGCTGCAAGTCACCCCATCGACAAACAAGATTACAACTTATATTTTATTAATTGAAGGACTTTCAATTTAGAGCTTTGGATAAAAATGAAATCAAAAACTCAACTGAACTAAAAACCACGTACAGTAAAAACGTGCAGTACCATTCAAGACTTCAAACGCCTAAGAAGTCACTATTTAACAACAATTTAAAATGACGGTTGAGGATTAGATAATGCTGGTTTTTGTTTACGAAATGCTAGCAGATAATAGTGAAGCTTACTATTATCTGCGAGCATTTCTTAAACAAAAACCAAGACACCCGTTTTAATAAGAATTAGGTATTCAATAAATCCCCATTAGTTATGCTGAATTTGAGTTGTACCTACACGATTTGTACCTATATGTTGCACATTTCTGTTCTCTTTAAACACGTCACAGCTTTCCACTTTTATCTCTGAAATACTGCAGATATTTTGTATTCACTATTACACATAAAAGCCAATTTATTTTACCTACTTTGCAATAACCCTGATCTGATTCTAAGGGGATATTCTTAGCATTGTTACAGACACAATTGTTAATTGCTTGACACACATATCAACATATTAATATTGAATAGATATTGCTGCAGAGTTCTCGCAGCAGTAGGGAAGCGTGACTTTCATGGAGTTTAATAACTTGAACTTTCTGACTCAGCACCTCAGAGCCTTTTCCATTGGCCCGCCACCTGCCATCTGCTTCTCATTCACCTTTGCAGGAAATCCTCTTCAACCAATCAAATCAGAGCTTAATCTGCCAGACTCCTATCGCCACAGCCTAAAGTTTAGAGAAGCAGGAGGCCGACAGTTTAAATCCCCGAGCAGCTGGGAGATCTGGCTCTGAGGAGCAGGGATAAAATATGCTTGCTCTTTTTTAAGGAAAAATGCACTTTTGGAACCTGAGTCTTATTTTTATAGTTCAGAGTTACTTTACTGCTTTTTCTGAAGTTTGGCACACCGCTAACAATCCTGAACATTTGAGATAAAAGAGGATTTTAGTGTTGCTTTCCACAGGCAAAACTACTTCATATAGAAACATAATAATATAACAACAATCACAATTGCATCGTCCAATCATAAAATAGTATTTATGCTACAAGCATCCTTGGATATAATTAGGTTTTTCAATGTTTAAAATATGAGGTATTCTGCTAATTTTCAGATGTATATCAGTATGTAGTGTCTCTACTTTAAAGAGTCCTCTCCTGCTAATTTTCAGATGTATATCAGTATGTAGTGTCTCTACTTTAAAGAGTCCTCTCCTGCTGATGTTCAGGTGTATATCAGTATGTGTCTCTACTTTAAAGAGTCCTCTCCTGCTGATGTTCAGGTGTATATCAGTATGTGTCTCTACTTTAAAGAGTCCTCTCCTGCTGATGTTCAGGTGTATATCAGTATGTAGTGTCTCTACTTTAAAGAGTCCTCTCCTGCTGATGTTCAGATTCATATCAGTATGTAGTGTCTCTACTTTAAAGAGTCCTCTCCTGCTGATGTTCAGGTGTATATCAGTATGTAGTGTCTCTACTTTAAAGAGTCCTCTCCTGCTGATGTTCAGGTGTATATCAGTATGTAGTGTCTCTACTTTAAAGAGTCCTCTCCTGCTGATGTTCAGGTGTATATCAGTATGTAGTGTCTCTACTTTAAAGAGTCCTCTCCTGCTGATGTTCAGGTGTATATCAGTATGTAGTGTCTCTACTTTAAAGAGTCCTCTCCTGCTGATGTTCAGGTGTATATCAGTATGTAGTGTCTCTACTTTAAAGAGTCCTCTCCTGCTGATGTTCAGGTGCATATCAGTATGTAGTGTCTCTACTTTAAAGAGTCCTCTCCTGATGATGTTCAGGTGTATATCAGTATGTAGTGTCTCTACTTTAAAGAGTCCTCTCCTGCTGATGTTCAGGTGTATATCAGTATGTAGTGTTTCTACTTTAAAGAGTCCTCTCCTGCTGATGTTCAGGTGTATATCAGTAAGTAGTGTCTCTACTTTAAAGAGTCCTCTCCTGCTGATGTTCAGGTGTATATCAGTATGTAGTGTACTTTAAAGAGTCCTCTCCTGCTGATGTTCAGGTGTATATCAGTATGTAGTGTCTCTACTTTAAAGAGTCCTCTCCTGCTGATGTTCAGGTGTATATCAGTATGTAGTGTCTCTACTTTAAAGAGTCCTCTCCTGCTGATGTTCAGGTGTATATCAGTATGTAGTGTCTCTACTTTAAAGAGTCCTCTCCTGCTGATGTTCAGGTGTATATCAGTATGTAGTGTCTCTACTTTAAAGAGTCCTCTCCTGCTGATGTCCAGGTGTATATCAGTATGTAGTGTCTCTACTTTAAAGAGTCCTCTCCTGCTGATGTTCAGGTGTATATCAGTATGTAGTGTCTCTACTTTAAAGAGTCCTCTCCTACTGATGTTCAGGTGGTATATCAGTATGTAGTGTCTCTACTTTAAAAGAGTCCTCTCCTGCTGATGTTCAGGTGTATATCAGTATGTAGTGTCTCTACTTTAAAGAGTCCTCTCCTGCTGATGTTCAGGTGTATATCAGTATGTAGTGTCTCTACTTTAAAGAGTCCTCTCCTGCTGATGTCCAGGTGTATATCAGTATGTAGTGTCTATACTTTAAAGAGTCCTCTCCTGCTGATGTTCAGGTGTATATCAGTATGTAGTGTCTCTACTTTAAAGAGTCCTCTCCTGCTGATGTCCAGGTGTATATCAGTATGTAGTGTCTATACTTTAAAGAGTCCTCTCCTGCTGATGTTCAGGTGTATATCAGTATGTAGTGTCTCTACTTTAAAGAGTCCTCTCCTGCTGATGTCCAGGTGTATATCAGTATGTAGTGTCTCTACTGGGACATGTCTCCATGCTTTAATGTTCAAAAAGCTCTTTATTTTTCTCTTACTCTCTAAAACCTCTTGAACACACTACAGGAAAGAGAAATACCACAAAAGGGAGAGTAGGGCCTGTTCCATGGAATCATCAATTTGGCTTCTACAGGCCACAACATCAATTATTAAAAATATTATTTAAATCTTACAATTTAATGATAAACAGTTTTTTTAAACGGCTGATTATATAGTGAACAGTTTTCGAATGATTCAAAAGCTTTTTTTGTCATATGCACAGCAGCCGCATCTAAGTGAGTCTCAGGCGCCCTTAACCTCTTAAGCACGGCGGTCCCCCCATTGGACCCCTCCCACCGTTTTGTTTTCGAGATAATGTCTCAGGGCTTCTTAACATTTATGAAACTATTAATGTGTAGCACCAGATTAACGGGAAGAATCTCAGCTAACTGAAGATATGAACCATTTTTACCAAAACAAAACACAAGTCTCATAAGAAGCGTCTAAATGACCCCTGAGCGAAAACATTCTAGCGCACTGCGGCACACAATTCAAGATAAAAATACCCTTATTACTTATCGTAGCTGCACATACAATATAGCCTATTAAAGCTGAGACTCCACTGATTATTTAGGTATAGTATCATCACTGAGCGATCCGAACTTGCGACAGGGGAAGCAAACACAGACATCACAACACGTACCTTTACGGAGCTTTTACGGCAGATCGTCTCACCGTAGCTGTCAATTAGGTCAAAAGACGTGTTCAATGGCATTAAAACGAAAAAGAAAATGCTACAACTGTTGATCCATAGGTTGATAATGTACCTGTGCCTTTGAACAAATTATTTATAATCCATAATTCCATTTTTTATGTAAAAATCGGAGCGGAAAAGTTAGCTGCTAATGGTAGCCACCAGAGTGTATGCAGCTTCCGGTTTTGGTAACTCGTCACTCTCACTCCTTATTTGTTAACGTGTTGGTGTGTATATAACGTTCCCTCGATTCCATTGGCTCTAGCGGTTATAAAGAGATTTCATTCATCAAAATCGAGCAAGGGGGGCCAGAGATAGGTCAAATCCACCCAAATGACCCCAGAAGTGGGGTTTTTGGCTAAATCTCTCTAAAAAGGTCAAATTTCACTTGTTTTGCATCAATCTTGATACAGGGTACTTATTATATGTTGTACTTTGGATTCCTAAAGCTTTTAGTCTACTAACCCATCATCCAAGGGTAATTTTCACTATAAGTAAAAAAGAATTTTTGGACGGACACTATAATTTACAGTTTTTTACTATGTAAAATCTGGATTTTCTTTAAAATAAAAAACATCTATATTGATTCTGACTTTTCTAAATCCAACTCACAGGTTTATCATTACTTTGAGAATAAAGATTATTAATTTAACCCTTTTAGAAGGGAAGATATGGTCATTTGTTCTGGGAATGTCATTTTCGAGCCTGAGACCTGAAAAACAGGCTCAGGGCTTAACAGGTTAAGAAATGCAACATACAAGTAACTAAACATGAAAATACTTAAAATAGTGCAATAGATATACGTAACCGTGCAAGTACGTTGCAGGAAAATATAGAATAAGATTAAAAAAAATGTAAAATGAAATACTGTACAGTAGAATAAATACTGTATACTGCAATTATTAACATATGGGAAACAATCAGATGTATAAATGAACAGTGTTTTATGAATATACCCTTACCCTTTTGGATAAAGGTTTTCCTGAGTGTGGTGGTTTCACTAAAGGTTTTCGTCACTGTGGTGGTTTCAGTAAAGGATTAATAATACTTTTATAACCATAGATGTCTTTTCTCCACGTTCTGTCAGACTGATTTTTATTCTAAGTTTAATTTTGGATTTGCACATCTTAGCATAATCAGGATTGGTTTGGCTCCCCGCTCTCCTCCTGTGGTACTTTCCAAGTGTGTGGGAGGCTGGACAAAGTAGACCCAGAGTGTTTGTGTATTTCCACATTGAGGGAGAAGGAGGTTTTCCCAGGGAATCCCCTCCTCTCTTCCAACATCAGAGTCTTCCAGTGCTGCTTATAACAACCTCTGTGTCTGTGATCTGTCTGAATTCTCCTTTTTAACCTTTCACTCTCTCTCCTCTTCCTCTCTGCAGAGCTTAATCCAAAAGGTGAGTGTTTGGTTTGGACAGAATAGAGCCCCCCCCCCCCCCTCTCCCCTCTCCACTTACACACCCACACACACACTTTATATATAAAAAGGCAAACAAGTCATGTAGATGTGCACATAAACATATATTTTCTGCATTATGGATTTTCCATTTCAATATTCTCTTACACACAGAAATGCAAACATAATCAAAACTAAACTGTATGCATTCCAACACACACTCGCACACATGTACACACTACTGTATATACAGGAAGAGACCACTGCCTACTGTTTATGTTCCTGTAACACGATACTTGGCAAGAGTATGTACACACACACACACACACACACGCACACGCACACGCACACACACACGCACTCGTACTGGACACACATACACACTTCCTCACTGTATAGAGTAATATAAATATCCATTTATATCCTTTTATGCTCACATTTCACATACACACATACTGGCATATGGAAACTCATTGCATTGCAGGTTTAAGCGCATGTACACACACACACACACACACACACACACACACACACACACACACACACACACACACACACGCGCGCGCACAGTAGTGTTCCTAGTCGTCAGTCAGTGTTTGTTTTAGTCCGTCTGAGTTTGTGTGCTTTGATACAGAATAGGATGTCCTGTAATCTATAGTAGGCTTAGAGGCCCTGCAGTAGTACACACACACACACACACACACACGCACACACACACACACACACACACACACACACACACACACACACACACACACACACACACACACACACACACGTTGAACTATTTTTCTCCAACTCATAACTGCAGATTATATTCATATGCATCCGCCAGATACATTCTTGGGGAAACGTAAACTACCATGTTTCTGACAGAAAAATGAAAAGAGAGGCGGACTTAAGGACATTAATAATGAAACATCAGTTCACACACCCCTTAATAATTGGACACATTTCATCAACAAAATCAGTGTGTATTAAACATAAGGTTAAACTTAAAGCCCAAGGCTCTTCAGATGTGTTTATTCACATAATTGTGTGTATAATGGTGATTATAAATATTATATATATTAGGGATACCATCTATTACATCTGGTACAAAAAGTCCCTTGGTCAAAGCATTTTTATTTATTTGTTTAATATTGTATTGATTTGGAAATGTAAAATAAAAGTTTGCCACCTTTTATGTTGACGTCAAATTAGTGTACAACCAATAATCGCAGTTAAATCATTGCATTCCTCAGTGCGTGCTTTATTTACCCAGAAAGCGGATTTCTGCCGGAAGTGCTTACATGGACCAGAATGCATTGCGCTCAGACTTTATCTGCTTATTTTTTTTAAATCCAAAACTCTGCATAACATCCTCTGCACTCGGATACCTGGATGCCATTTCTGCTGTTGGACACAAAAGAGAGAAAACAGTGTTTTATGAGGTCACATGAGGCCAGGAAAAGGCTAGTCTCTGTGACCTTTTGACCTGTGCTGGACTAGTGATCTGATCTATATGAATGCACCTGCCCATTACTTGATCAAGTTAGATGCCGCCTATCACAGTGCGCTGAGATTTGTTACTAACTGTAAAGCACTTACTCATCACTGTACCCTGTATGCCAAGGCAGGTCTGCCTTCACTTACTGTACGGAGGCTCAGTCATTGGTACATGTTCATCTATAAAGCCATGTTGGGTAAACTACCACCTTACATCTGCTCACTGATATCACAGAGAGTCGCAAGTAGCTATTGCCTAAGATCCCAGGATGTGTTTTTATTACATGTACCAAGTGCTAGGACTGTTTTAGGCACTAAAGCTTTTATGTGCGCTGCTCCTCTAGCTTGGAACACTCTGCAAAACATATTGGAAATGAGCGTTTTGGTTCCCCTGCATCATTTTAAAGCACAGCTGGATGAAGTGATATTTGGTATACTCCTGGTACCTGTCTTTGTGAATACGTTTGTAAATTGTGTCCTTTTTGTTTTCTGTTACATGTGTAGCCAATGTGCGGCAGGTCTCCCTTGTGAAAGAGATCGTTGATCTCAATGGGATTTTTTACCTGGATAAATAAAGGCTACAAACAAACAAATAGATTCCCCGGGAAATTAGATTTTGTGAGAGATGCTCCATTTTAGAATGAAGTTAAATAAAAAATTCATTAAAAAAAAATACAATAAATATATGTATATAACATTAAAAGTAAAATGTCAAATATAAAGATACAAATAAATCATGTAAACTTTATTTAAAACGAACCACCGCTTTATGAAGTTCTGTTTCTTGAGCGGCATCGTGTGCTCTCTGGCTCTTCAGAGGTTAGAGACTACAAATCAAAGAGTGAAATCCTGTAGTTATCTTTCCAACCAACGACATCAGTTTAATGTCAAATGACGCTGCAGGTTTAGCTCTTAGAAATAAAGCTTTAAAGGGCCCATGTCATGCTTTTCCGGTTATTACCCAAATGGACCAATCCGTGGAGCACCTCACACACCAGGATCCCCTGGCTAACTAACAGGGAGTCCCCATTGACTTGCATAGAGCTCCCTGAACGCTGGTAATAGACGAGTTGGGAATACCTGGTGAATACACATACTATCAGAGATGCTGTATGAGAAACCAATGTGATTTTGGAAAATTGCACAATATAAATCTATTCTAGTAGACCTCAACAATGGAAATATGATCAGTAGAAATGGCCATGACATGGGACCTTTAACCGACTAATTTACCATCAACACTGATTGGACATCCACTCGGCAAATCCTAGTTACGATAAAGATCTTATTATGATAAAACATGTTCATGTTTAATTACACACTGTTGGACAGATGTGTCTGCAAAGAATAACATTTATCCAGACATCCACACCTGGACTCGGTGCCTCTCAGAGGAACCGTTTAAAGCTGCAGACTAGCTGCATAAGAACATGATTTGTTGGAGGACAGGGCTGCGTGGTGACTGTGTGTATCACAGAGGAAATGATAAAAAGACACACACACACATACAGAACGAACATATATCGTACACACTAAATCAAATGCACACACACGGCTGACATCACTGCAGCTGTGGTGAGAATCGGACCCAGACAGTGGTCCTCTGCTCAAATAAACTCTGTCTGCGCACGCGCACACACGCACGCACGCACACACACACACACACACACACACACACACACACACACACACAATTGTGATTTTAAATGTGTTTAACAGTTCCACAAAGCTTCCTTTCCCACACAAACAGCAAGCAACTATCAGGGCGGTAGTGAAACGTTATCAAGTACATTTACTAGAGTAATTTATTTAATTAAATTGTTTAGACTAGCTTCTAAACTGAGAAACTCTGATTTGAAAGTACTAACTAATCGGTCATATAATCATACATTCTCAAACCAAGTGCCTGCAGACTTTAGGTGTATTTGTGTGCCAATACTTTTGCACTTTTACTCAAGTCAGATTTGGATGCAGAACTTTTACTTGCAACAGAGTATTTGTTCTACTACTTTTACTGAAATAAAACACATATGAGAACTTTTCCACCTCCGCAGAACATTACATGTTACTTGTTAGACGCTTTTATCCAAAGCGACTTACATACTCAATACTGTGGGCAATCCCCACAGGAGCAATTTGGGGTGAAGTGTCTCAGGGACACAACGACATGCTGACTGCAGTGGGACTCGAACTTGCTACCCCCTGATTCGAAGTTCAGCGCACTATCCACTGCGCCACAGCCTCCCACATCCTCTTCGTCATCATTTGGAGCTCTTGCAGTAAATCCAGTAAAGAAAACTGCCTATTCTATATACTTATACATATACTTATTGAGCTTTACTCAAGTACGAGTTTGAATGCAGGACTTTGGCTTGTCAAAGAATGCTTTTATTTATAATTACTACATTTAAAGTATAAGATGTGAGTACGTCTCCCACCCTTTGTCAGGGGTCACATCTGGGGACACACAATATGTGAAATACTGTTCATTCAGGTACATAAACTCTTCAAACTGCAATACAGAAGCTTGCAGCTGAGGACAAGTATTGAATGAGGTGAATAATCCGTAAGACAAACACAGAAACCTCAGTGTACTGTAGACATGGTGCTTGGTCAGTTACTCACCCTCTGGCTTCACACACACCAACAGTCACTCTTTGTCTTGTCCTCCTCTAATCATCAAACCAGACTGAAACTGTGACGTCTGACGTAAGCTCATGATGCAACCGTTGGTTTTTGCCAAAGCTCCGCAGACGATCCAGCTTTTAAACTCGGCTCCTGTGCACATGACGTGACTCAGGATGTGACTTTAGCAGATATAGGATACTTTTGATTGGCTTGGAAAGTGCAACAGTGTGTGTTTGAGGAAAATACATCATGAGAAACATGAAATGAGTCCCAGATATGCAAAATAACTTAACCACAGCGACAGTTTTGCTGTTCGCTAAGCTTTGAACTTCCTGAACCAATGCATGTTTTACGGTACGTCCACACGGCAGCGTCGCGTTGAAGCTTGCCGGTGGGCGTGTCTGAAGCTCGACCAACAACCAATCACATTAATTTCCCGCCCCGGCGGACACACAAGCACGCGGTTTGATTGGCTAGAGCTTATACTGGCATATGATTTGATTGGCTGACGCTTCCGTCGACGCTTGAAAAGTTGAACTTTTCTCAACTTTTGAAGCGAGCAACGCAGGCAAAGCGACGGAACCACAATGCAGTTCGGCAAAGCGTGACGTCGCCCCATTCAAAGTGAATGGGAAGCGATGCTGCCGTGTGGATGTACCGTTACCGTTATAAGATCTATATATATTATATTTTATGTTATTCTATTTCCTGTAAGGCAATGCAAGTTTATTTATTCAGCATATGCAACACAAAGTCAATGAAAGGTGCTGCATTGAGACATCCTGTAAATTAAGCTTAACTAGAAAAAGACGGGTAAAAAATTAAGTGTGACTTTTTGGTTTTATCTTTAATGTTTTTATTATATAAGTA